AAAAGGGCAAATACTGTTTAAGACAACTATTATAAAGACACACGAAAATGTTTCCACACAGTAAGAAACTATCTTTGATGGTTATGAGGGAGGAGAGTCATGGGGAAGGAAAAGTACTAATTAGATAGTAGGTAAGTGGTACCTTTGGTGAAGGATAAGAGAGTACACAATATTGGGGAAGCCAGTACAACCTGACCAGGGCAAAGTCATAAAGCTTCACAGAAACATCCAAAGGCCCTGAGAGACTGAGCTACTGGGCTGAGGGCTGGGGAGCATGGTCTTGGGGGACGTATATCTCAACTGGCATAACATAGTCTATAAAGAAAATGTTCTACATCTGACTGTGGTGAGTAGTGGCTGGGGTCTTAAAAGCCTGAAAGCTGCCATCTAAGATACATCTACCGGTTCCATCCTGGCTGGAGCAAAGGAGAATGAAGAAGACCAAGACACAAGGGAAAGATTAGTCCTAAGGGCTGGTGAACCACAACTACCACAACCTCCACCAAACTGAGCCCAGAACAACTAGATGGTGCCTGTTTATCACCATAGACTACTCTGGCAGGGATCACAATAGAGGCTCCTGGACAGAGTGGGAGAAAAATGTAGAACAAAATTCAAATTCACACACACACACACAAGAAAAAACAGGCTTGCTGGTCTGACAGAGACAGGAGAAACTCTGAGAGTTTGGCCCCCGGACATCCTTTTAATTCAGTACTGAAGTCACTCTTGAGGTTCACCCTTTAGTCAAAGATTAAACAAGTCTATAGGGTCAACAATAATACATGTGAGGGATGTACTTCATAGTTCAGTCATGTATACAAGACTAATGGGCACACCAGCCCAAAAGCAAAGACAAGAAGGAAGGAAGGGGCAGGAAAACTGGAGGAATGGAAACAGGGAACCTAGGGTGGAGAAAGGGAGAGTGTTGACATATTACAGGGTTGGCAACCAATGTCACAAAACGATTTGTGTATTCACTGTTTAATGAGAAAATAATTTGTGCAGTAAACTTTCACTGGAATAACAATTTAAAAAAAGATTTTAAAATGTGGATGTTCATTTTAGCATAAAGATATTTAAACTAGTTTACATTCTTAATCCATCATGTGTCTGTCAGTTTGTTGTACAGTGGTGACTTTCATGTTGCTGTGACACTGAAAGTTATGCCAATGGTATTTCAAAAACCAAAGGGTCACCCATGGTGGACAGGTTTCAGTAGAGATTTCAGACCAAGAAAGACTAGGAAGAAGCACCCGGAGGTCTACTCTGGAAAAAATTGGCCACTAAAAACCTTACGAATAGCAGTGAAACATTGTCTGGTAAAGTGTCAGAAGATGAGTCCCTCAGGTTGGAAGACACTCAGAATACTACTGGGAAAGAGCTGCCTCCTCAAAGTAAAGTGGACCTTAATGATGTGGATGGAGTAAAATTCGGGACCTTCATTTGCTGAGGTGGCATAACCTAAAATAAGAAGAAACAGCCGTAAACATTTATTAATAGTTGGAACATAGAATGTACAAAGTAAGAATCTAGGAAAATTGGAAGTTGTCACAAATGAAAAGGACTGCATAAAGATCGATATCCCAGGCATTAGTGAGCTGAAATTTACTGGTGTTGGTCATGCTGAACAAGACAATCAAATGGTCTACCATGCAGGGAATAACAAATTGAAGAGGAATGGCATCACATTCATCGTCAAAAAGAACATTTGAAGATCTATCCTGAAGTACAATGCTGTTAGTGATAGGATAATATCCACATGCCTACAAGGAAGACCAGTTAATACGACTATTTATTCAGATTTACGCACCAATCACTAATGCCAAAGATAAGGAAATTGAAGATTTTTACCAATTCCTGCAGTCTGAAATTGATCAAACATTCAAACAAGATGCATTGATAATTGCTGGTTGATTGGAATGTGAAAGTTGGAAACAAAGAAGAAGGATCAGTAGAATGGGAATCCAAAATGCTTAATTGTGCTCATGTGGAACCTGTATATAAAAAAAGAGGCAGTCATTCGAACAGAACAAAGGGATACCATGTGGTTTAAAATAAGGTAATACTTGCTTCAGGGTTGTATCCTTTCACCATATTTATTCAATCTGTATGCTCAGCAAATAATCTAAGAATCTGGACTATTTGAAGTAGACGGCAGCATCAGGTTTGGAGGAATGCTCATTAACAACCTGTGATATACAGATGACAGAATTTTGCTTGCTGAAAGTAAAGAGGACTTGAATCACTGATAAAGATCAAAGGCTACAGCCTTCAGTATGGATTCCACCTCAACAAAAAGAAAACAAAAATCCTCACAACTGGACCAATAAGCAACATCATGATAAATGTAGAAAATACTGAAGTTGTCAAAGATTTCATTTTACTTGGATTCACAATCAGTGCCCATGGAAGCCAAAGTCAGGAAATAAAATGACGTATTGTATTGAAAAATTGGCTGCAAAAGACCTCTTTACTGTGTTGAAAAGCAAACATGTCTCTTTGAGGACTAAGGTGTGCCTGACCAAAGCCATGAAATTTTCAATCATCTCAAATGCATGTGAAAGCTGGACATGAATAAAGAAGACCAGAGAAGAATTGACGTCTTTGGATTATGGTGTTTGTGAAGAATATTAAATATACCATGGACTTCCAGAAGAACAAACAAATCTGTCTTGGAAGACATACAGCCAGAGTGCTCCTTGGAAGCAAGGATGGCAAGACATTGTCTTGCATACTTTGGGCATATTAGCAGGAGGGACTAGTCCCTGGGGAAGAACATCATGCTTGGTCAGTGTCAGTGAAAAAGAGGAAGAACCTCAATGAGATGTGTTGACACAGTGGCTGCAACAATGGGCTCAAATATAGCAATGATTGTGAGGATTAAGAAAGACCAGCATATTTCATTCTGTTGTACCTAGGGTTGTTCCGCTATGAGTCAGAACAGGCTAGATGGCACCTAAGAACAACAACACATTCATAACTGCTGTGTATACTAGAATCCATTTCCTCACCTAGGATCATCTTTTTAATTGTGACCAGTCCTGTGTAAGTTTTAGATTCTTCTATCATTGCAATCAGCTGTAATGTGAAGCCACCTCAACATGTGCATCGGACCAGTGACATCATTCTCTTCTGCCAGTTTGATAACTACTCATCACCTAGTAACGACTTGTTTGATGACAATTTCTGTCTTACAATTTCCAAGTATTTCTGGAGTTCTTGTCAAACCTAGGTGGAGTGGTTGTGCATGACACAGGTGCTGCCTGTTACCTGCTTCACATCCCCTTTATAATATAGACCACCCACCCTGTCAAGAAATGGGATTTGATCCCCAGAGACCAATGTAGCCCCTCTGAAATTTTCTGCTGTGTTCTCTGTCCCTGCTCTCTAATATCTCAAATTCAGCCATTATAGACCTGAAAATCTCTGATTAACCCTACAATCAGTTTTATGTTTTAAATTTGAAAAACTAGGAGCTGTACTAGGTGCTTTTTAAGTCTTTCATCCTGACATTTTATAGCTCGATGAACTATTCTTTCCCAACGTTGTGGCTGACAATTCACTTTGCTGGATCATGCTCTCCTCTTTGTAATCCCTGTGTGAAACTCACCTCCTTGTTTTAAATCACTAGATAAATTTGTTTCTGTGGGACTTGCTCAGGGAGACACTATAGTGTGTGTATGTGTGTGTGTGTGCATGTTTGTGTGCATGTGTGTGTGTGAATATCACAGCTCTTGGAGAAGTCCTGGTGGCACAGTGGTTAAGAGCTATGGTTGCTAACCAAAAGGTTGACAGTACAAATCCACTAGTTGATACTTGGAAACCCCAAGGAGCAGTTCTACTCTGTCTTACAGGGTCGTTATGAATTGGAATAGACTCAACAGCAACAGGTGTTGAAGCCCTGGTAGCACAGTGGTTAAGAGCTAAGGCTGCTAACCAAAAGGTTGGCAGTTCTGAATCCACAAGCTGCTCCTTGGAAACCCTACAGGGCAGTTCTACTCTGTCCTATAGGGTCGCTATGAGTCAAAATCGACTCGACAATTTGTTTTTGGTTTGTTTTGTTTTTTTAGAGAAGACTGCACATTCTCCAAATGGAGCATTGTGGACCCTCCCCTCCTCTTCCTAGAACGGCTTTATGCGTCTCTGCATACAGACGCTATCCAGCAAAACGTAACATTGCCTGATAATGAAGGTGGAGTTTTCCTGTGTGTGCGGTTACATAAGACTGTGAATATGTACAATGAGTGCACCTGTATGAGTGTTTTTGTGTCTGCATGTGTTGGGGGTGTATCAAACAGAAAATGAGTGGAGAAAAACATAATATCAGATTCAAGTATGTAGGAGTGATGTTTTTTGGAATAAAGAGAAGACTGTGGGAAAGATACTAAGTCAGAAGCAGCTCTGAGTAAGAACTAAAGGAACTGAGGCATGACTCAGTGAAGGACATGTGGAGAGCCCTCCTCTATCTGGGGCAATCCAAAGTACCAGATTGTTGGTATCATTGCACAGTATCCATTGACAACCCAGAAATGGCCTCTAAGCCCAACCCTATGACCCTTGCCAGGATCAAATGACTCCTATATACCAACTCTTTGCTGTCTCCAGCTCCTGACTCATGATGGGAGAGCAAGAAAGGGGATAGATTCAGCCAGAAACACAGATTGAGTAAAATGAAAAGTGATTTAATGGGAACAGAGAAAAAAACATGAATTTACTTTCATCCAGAATCCCTCTTCACATAAACCCTGAGCAGCTGAAGACCAGCAAAGCCACTAAGACCCTCTGCTTAATTCAGAGGCTCAGGGGACACTCCAGAGCATGTGTAAGGGAAAGCTTCATAGCCTTTGTTTTTAGGATACAAATAAGAGAGAGACTATGACTCAGGGTGACAACATATTGACTACAAGGTCTACAGGTAATTAAGACACAGAAGTAGATTGTAATAAGGTGCTCATCATCCAGGGGTCGGCTCCTCAAGGGCAGGTCTGAAGGCCACTTTAGTTCTTCTTGGTCTTCTGCTGGTCTGGGTCTGGAGAGACTGGTGAAGGGCATGGCTCTGGGTCCTTGCGGCAGACTGAATCAGGAACCTTGGGGTAGCCTGGCTCTGGAACCTTGGTGTTGCCAGGTGGTGGGACCTGGGGATGACCTGGTGTCTTGGTTACGGGAACAGGTGGTTTTTGTGGAGGCAGGCAGGGCTGTATCACCTGCTGCTCATGAGGCTGAGGTGGTGGGGTGAAGGGCTGCTTCTGCTGATAGGAACTCATGGCTCAAAGGTGGCTGAACCTAGAGAAAGAAAAGCTGAATCAATGGTTTGACTAAACTCAGAAGTCAAGTTCAATATCACATATATCTCATTTTTCTGCCTTAGAAGTGAGAACCTCTCCTGTCTTCCTTTCTGTTTCCTTGAATTTTAGATCAAAGGGTGCTTTGATGATTCTTGTGGCCTGTAAGAGGAGACGCCTTAGGGTGATTTACTCTGCTCCATGTGAGCAGAGCATTTTACTATGGTCCTTTCTTCCTGGCTCATCTCAAAACCTATGCTAGAAACACAACACAGCAGGCTCCAGGATTGCTTCCTTGTCCTTCCCAGATTTTAGATAATTTGGAAAGGTGACAAAATGAAATGTCTGAATCTACCCACTCTTGTCCAACCCAAGGAGTACCTGAGATTTCCCAGGTAAACTCTAAACCTCTCCTGAGCTCCTCGTGATCCCACTTCTGACCCTCTGCTCAGAGTCCCCTCAGTGCATGCTTCGTGGAAAGCATTCCACACCATACTGCTGGTCTGCACTTATTCACCCATCTTGACGCTTGTCCCAGGCACTCTTGGCCAGATGTTAAGTCACCTTCCTCAAATTGCCACAGCACATTACCTAGTAATCACTTTGCATCTTGTATGTTCACACATTATACCCATGTGTTATGTTCCCTGATGGACCGTTATTTCATAGAGTAAAGAAAAAATTATCTTTTGAACCTCCAAATTGACTAGTGTAGCACCTTTGACATTGAAAATCATCAATAAAGTTTAGAGGGAGAATAAAAACGTCATTAAATTTTCCTCAACATGGACACTAGTCCATATCTTTCCGCTGACAGAGTGAGAATTCTTACAAAAATCACTAACCTATACTGACCCCAAGTTGCACAGCTGTAAGGACAGATGTGAAAACTTATAAAGTCCAGTATGCAAAACTGTAATTGCATTTAAAATAAAAAGATAGTTAGAATGCTAAAGAAGTTCCAATCAATATAAAATATTGCTGGGCTAATACTAAGTTCCCAGAGGGGAGACTCACCTGGTATGCTCAGAAGAATGAGCTGTGTAGTGTCTCAGGTCTGGTGTGGAGTCTCTGGCCAGCTGGCTTTTTAAGCAGCAAATTAGCCCTGCCTTAAGGAAGTGGGATATTAAGGGTAACACTATCTTTATTTCAGCTATTGTGATGAAAATCTGGAGCTTAACAATATTTGTCACTTGCTGGCTGACAATAATGTCACCTGTACCTGTCCATGCTGTTCTTCCTGTATGTTGGGTTTGATGTGTGCAACAGGCTTATTGGGGGTAATAGGTTAAACCAGGGGGAAGTTCTGGGCTTTTGAGACTAGAAACCACCATGCCTCTTGGCCAGGACGAATCTTTAGCCCATGTTTGCACTATGAGCTGCTGAATATTTGAAGTAAATGTAGAGGAAACAGTTGGCATTTCTAATTCTGGGAGGCCATGAGGATGGGTCAATAAGTGAATCATCTGATTTTCTTCCTTTAGATCCAGGCCTGGAAGGTAAAAGGAAAGGCTAAAATAAAATGTCTGCTTTGAACTGAGTTGTCTTCCTTCCAAAAGAAGCTGTAAACTGTTATGAAGACCAAGGTGGTTGTTGTTGTTGTGTGCCGTTGAGTCAATTCCATTGACCAAGGTAGTAGAAGTTATTGGGGAGAGACAGTCAGAATTGATTTGATCTAACTGATGTGATGGCAGAGTTGTAAAGACCCTGCCACTTATATTGTTTCTTCTCTGGGGGTGACACAGAAACAAGAGAGCTGGGATTGCCAGGGTCTTTATAGCTAGAGTTTCCTCTGCTTATGAGATGAAACTGAAGTCACTAACCCAGAGCTGACCTCAGTACACAATGATAGTAGGTACATGGCAAATCCAAGACATCCTTAAAACCTGGGTGTGTGAGTGGTTCCTCCCCCCTGATGTCTATATTGCTGTGTCATCTTCCACGAACCTGAGCCCCAAGTACAGCCATCACAATCAGCTCCCTCCTCCAGGTCCCCAAACCAGTGGTCATGCTTTATCCTCACACTCTGCCTGGGTATAGTCTAGTAGGTTCTTAGTCATCAGGTACTTATTATTTCCTTCACAAATTTGTACGTTCATGAAAAAGAGAGAGAGAGAGGATTATTTTAGAGAAAGGCCCAAAAGCTGCTTTCAGACCCATAAAAAGCTACTTGAAAGTGATTCACTATTTTGTGACAGGCCTCTAGGATGATAACAAGAAGTGGTTATGGTTGAGCAAGGACAGATGCTTCTGTGGTCTTCCCCACCCATCTCCTTCCCTCTCTGCTAGCATTTGGCCAGCTGCTTCCCTCTGGGTTGGTGCTGGTGCCACCCTCACACCTAAATTCTAGGACTATAGAATCACTTTAGCTCTCCTCTAGTCTTTGGTCCAGGTCCCTCTCCTTACCAAAACTGCTTCTCAGGTGCCCCTGACAGAGAGAGATCTGGTGAGACCCTGCCTCTCCATCTGGGATTCTTAGCTCAAATGAAAACTGCTTCCTGATCCTCTGCCTTCCATGGTGCCTAGGTCGGCTTTGAGGCCCTGGCTGACCCAAACCTTAGCTCTGAACCTGGGTCATTCTCATCCTCTCTTGATTCTAGAAAAAAAAAAAAAAATCCTTTCTCATTGCCTGTATTCTTTCCCTGGATGGCTTCTGTCCTGCCCCACCCTAACTGGTGCCTCCTTCTCTTCAATAAAACCTTTCTGGCATCAATCTCTAGAACCTCTATTTTTACATCAATCTTGTTCTTCCTGTTTTTTGGTCAAGTGCTCTCAGTGGGTTAGTGTTAAGGCTCTTTCTCCCCTTCAGAGAAGCTTGGTTTCTTCACCAGCAGCGCAGGTTGTGCAGATGACTCTGGCCCCAGGGACAGAGAGAGTAAATCATGTGGCTTCTGATGGTGAGTACCATCCCCATAGGCACCATAGTCTTTCATATGGGTCTTCTTCTCTGGTGACAGGTGGCCTCTACTCTTCCTAAGTCAGTGGCCTGGGTCTTGCTTCAGACCTGATGGTGGATGGTATTGGGGACATTTTATGTACTCTAAATCTAAAAAAAAGCCTTGTTCTTTTGCTGGCCAGGCTGCCGGAATCATTTTTATACATTGACTGAGTTCTCTACCTTCTTGATCCAGGGATTCACTGATGTTATATCTATAAGACACTTATGCAAGCTTGAAGTACAGGGTAGTTAAGGTCCAGGTGTCCATAATTTGTCAATGGAGGACTGGAGCAGGTATAAAATGTTTTCTCCTTTCACCTCAGGGAAAACTCTCCTGAGACTAACTTCTTATGTCTTCTCAGAAAGTTCTGTGGGATCAAGTGCCAATTGCCCTTTGTGGTGGCCTGCTTTGTAACATAACATTTTATTTCTGTTACCTGTTGCCTAGTTTTACTCCCCAGTATAACTCTAAACACACTACGTGTGCATAAAACTTTTTTAGACTCTCTTTTTGAGAAATGTAGGTGAAGAAACATGAAACACTTGTATTTGGGATGCAGAAGGATGAACACAATTGTCCAGTGATGGGAATAAATGTCTAGCCCAGAGTCGGAGAAAACTTGCGACGAATCATTGGAAGAGGTTGGAATTGACCTAAATGCCTTCTTTGAGGGCTCTGGAACTGGCCTGTCCAAAAGAGCAGCCATTAACCATGTGTTGTTGTTGTTTGCTGCTACCAAGTCCACTCCAATTCATGATGACCCCATGTACAACAGAAAAAAATGTCACCTTGTCCTGTATCATACTCACAATCACCAGCAAGTTCAGGTCCATCATTAAGGCTAGTGTCAATCCATCTCACTCAGGGTCTCCCACGCCCTTGTTGATCTACTACTTCACCAAACGTGATGTCCTATTCTAGTGATTTATCTCTCCTGATGACCCGTCCAAAGCAAACAACTCAGACAATATTATTTTGTGAACCATAAGTTTTTATTGGTTAACTTTCAGAAGTAGATTGCCAGGCCTTTCTTCCTAGTCTGTCTTAGTCTGAATGCTCTGCTGAAACCTGTCCAACTTGGATGATCCTACTGGTATTTGAAACACCGGTGGCATAACTTACCGTATCAAAGCAACATACAAGCCACCAGAGTACAAAGTGTTGTGTCCACCAGGACTCTAAATTTCAGAGGTTTGTAGAAATTGACACCATGACACAATAGAGTGAATTATACCAATCACTTGAATGCCTCCCTTATTGCTTACCCTGTTGTTGTTGTTAGGTGTCGGTGAGTTGGTTCCAACTTGTAGGGACCCTATGTACAACAGAATGAAACACTTCCCAGTCCTGTGCCATCCTCACAAAGTTATTATGCTTGAGCCCATTGTTGCAGCCAATGTGTCAATCCATCTCATTGAGGGTCTTCTTCTTATTCACTTTGCCAAGCATGATGCCCTTCTCTAGGGACTGATCCCTCCTGATAATATGTCCAAAGTATGTTAGACATAGTCTCGCTGTCCTTGCTTCTAAGGAGCATTCTGGTTATACTTCTTTCAAGAGGGATTTGTTCATTGTTTTGGCAACCCATGGTATGTTCAATATTCTTCGCCAACACCACAATTCAAAGGCGTCAATTCTTCTTTGGTCTTCCTTATTCATCATCTAGCTTTTGCATGCATATGAGGCAATTGAAAACACCATGGCTTGGGTCAGGTATACCTTAGTCTTCAAGGTGACATCTTTGCTTTTCAACACTTTAAAGAGGTCTTTTGCAGCAGATTTACCCAATTCAATGTGTCTTTTGATTTCTTGACCGCTGCTTCCATGACTGTTGATTGTGGATACAAGTAAAATGAAATCCTTGATGACAATTTACCATGATGTTGCTTATTGGTCCAGTTGTGAGGATTTTTATTTTCTTTATGTTGAGGTGGAATCCATACTGAAAGCTGTAGTCTTTGATCTTCATCAGTAAGTGCTTCAAGTCCTCTTCACTTTCAGCAAGCACGGTTGTGTCATCTGCATAATGCAGGTTGTTAATGA